CGTTCTGTGTGTGTTTCACGCTTAACATGGCTTTAAATTAACACAGGTATTTTTTTATGGAAGGCCGCATCTTACAGCGGTGTGCCCTGGAGTCTGCCTGCATTTTCCTTTGAATAGCCAATATTATTCTTTGGCGGAAGTAGCTGCCAGTCTTCTAGTCACCGGAGGGTTCAACAAGAACTGAAAGCTCCTTACCGAGTGTTTAATATTCGAAGCACAGCGAGCTGAGTAAGCGAAGCTTTCTTGGCATTTACTCAAATTGTACAATTTCCTAGCGGAATTAGTAGGCCGTTCCTCAAGCCATCTGCGTGAAATTTGAAAATGTTATAAAAAATACAATTATTATAAGGCCAGTCACTGGAAGAGAAGCGGAAAAACCTGTTTTGCTTGATAGAATTTTTTAGGTATTGTTATATATAATTTAATTCAAGCGACTTACCACTCACGCTCAAAAGAGAACTCATGGACGTATGTATTCTATCCATTCTCACCTATGGCGCACAAACCTGGTCACAGACAGCGCGGCCAAGGTTCAAACTTGGGGTCTGCCAACGAACTATGGAACGCAGCATTCTGGGAATCAAATAGTCAGACCGAATTAGGAACAGTGATCTGCGCTCCAAAATACGAATCGTAGATGTGGGCCAACAAGCCGGTAAACCAAAATCGGACTGGGCGGATCACATCTGCCGCATGTCAGACCAGACAGATCCCCAAAGATAGAAAACGACCATGTGGCAGGCCAAAGCGTCGATGAAGAAACGAGCTAGACCTAAATGTCTGGACCTCAGTGGCACAAAACAGAGAGGTGTGGAGAGAGGGGAAAGAGGCCTTTTCTCAGCAGTGAGACAGTAGAGGCTTTTCAAAAAGAATCATAAGACTGTGCTAACTGACTGTCTAAAGAATGTGCTAATTTGTTACACGATAGGGATGTACTTTACCTGACCATATAAAATCCAGAAGACGTGCTAAAACAAAAGTATAAATATAAGTTCGGTCACGGAGGCAGTGGAACAGAAGTTAAGTATCTTACAACACCGACTACTTCTCAGGGTTCCAAGAAATTTTCGTCTCGAGGTATACAAATAATACCTCTTTCTATTAATAACCCTATTACTTAAGAGCTCACCTGGATGTGTATGAATAAATAAATTAAACATTATTTGTAATAAACACAACATCGTCTTTAGCAAACCGCTCGCTGACATCCTTGTTGCCGTTCCGTCAATGTGACCGACATTATGAGGGGCACGGTGTGTTAGGGAAGGGAAGGGCGGAGGTCACTCGTTACTTATTTATTCTGTTCCCAAATTTTGAATTTCGATTTGTGACCTGAGATAATTGAAGTCAAAGGTCGCTATGTTAAGTCAACATGTTACATGCCAGAAAATCGATATTCCGCCTAATTTATGTCGCATATACAATCCGACTTGTCTTACTCATCTTAAAACATAATATTAAACATCCAGTATCTGAACAAAGGAAACACAGCCTTTATCTGACCCATTAACCGCGACAACAGTAATCAAGAATCGTTTAGTAAGTCTGTTATCTTGTATACGTGTATATATTACACATATACTTAACCCACTATGTGTTCAGTTGTTTTCTTGGTGAATCTCTAATAAGATGTTTATATTAAACATATTGGGTAGTTTCACTTCTATTACTACTGAGTTATAATCACGGACGGGACGAACAAGTGCGACTGGTGGTAAGTGACACGCCTATATCAGTTGCAGTGCTACTGAGAGGTTTAAATAGCAAATAATAATAATAACTCACTCATAGCCCCGCACTAGACATAGACAACCACATACAAACTCACGTGAGAAATAAATGCAAGCCATACAAATATTTCTTCTAAAACTTGGGAATCGAACCCGGGCCCTCTGCGTCACAGTCCAGTATGGTAATAGTTCGGCCATGGAAGGGACACTTTACTGCGGACGTCATTCTGAGATATCAGTTAACAAGTCCATGATGTTTGAATAAGAGCGTCTCAAATTTAATTGTTCAGTATTTCGACTGCCTCCGTGGCCGTGCTGGGTTGCCAAGAGGAGAATTCAATTCCCGGGCCGGAAGAAATATATATATAGCCTACATTGATTCCTATCGTGAGTTTAGGTGTAATGTGCGTTCGTTGTTTATGATGTTAGTAATCTATTATAGTCCTGAGAAGTCCACAATCGGATCATATGTTTTTCAATCTATCTTAGAAAAATCGTTTCAGATTTCGCAAATGCCAATACTTTACGTCCATTCTTTTTTTTTCTCTTAATGAACGGCTGTGAGATATATTTATTGACTCAATTCTGCCAGTGTCAGTTACGTGATAGTTTCATAAACATCGTGGAGGGAGTGTATATAGGAAATTTGTTCGGTGACTCAGAGGGAGTATTGAAGGAACGTCCATTATTTTCAAAATCAGATGTTTTCAAACTACTTTTCTTGCACACCAATGCACAATACGATTAGTTTTAGGGTGCATATATTCGACATGAAATTCATCGCGGTCACACCGCGCGGAGACCGCGTGCATCTAACAATCAATGCAAAGTACGCTCTATTCATATAGCTTTTACGTTTTAACTTAAATGAGCTACCCGGGCGCGCGAGCGAGACTGGCTTGTCTTTGGTCTACGTGACGCGGTTGTGTTACTCAGAGGAATTTAAATGTTGTTGCCTAGTAACTAGAATTCAGAAAGCGTGGTATCTGGGCGGTCGCCGCGCGGCGGCCGCGAACTCTTTTGCGTCGTGTAACTGGGCTCTTACGATTCAGTGGGGGTTCAGAAAGATACTGTTTTGTTTAAATTGTTAATATGATCATAACCGATTCGATTCGTCTTGATGTTGAATCGATTTGCTTTAAAAATCGCATTGAAATGAATTGATACAAAAAAATCGCTAGATTGTATACACTTGAATCGATCTTCATAAAAATGGAATCGGATTGTACATTCCAGATCGCGTCACAGGCCCATATATTCAAGGCCGTACCGGCGCGGTCGGGCGACCTGTGAAAACACGAGCCGTGTGAAGCCGGCTTAACCGGCGGGAGTTGGGGGAGTACTTAATTTTATTATACTATGCTTGCAACCTGTAGTTTGCAATTTGCAACGTTTCGTACTAATCATCAATTTTAAACTACTTCTCGTCATCGTCGATCTCCCAAGTTCACGCTAGGATAAATAATACAAGCAATTCTTAAAACCACATTTATTACTTAAAAATAATATCTAAAAGGGTACATTATTCTTCAACCAATCGCTATAAGGAGCTAAAGATGTGTAACGAACAGTTTTGTCGAAGCAGAACGGTCGGTCGCTGGTGTCTCCAGTTCGTATACCGTACAAGCACCAGTCCCCACGTTTTGCCAAGAAGAGTCCTCCATAACTAGGACAGGTGGACACATCTGAAACCACAAAAAGATCATACTTCAAAAGCGAGTCCATGACTGGTTACACACGGTGGATTTTAGCAGCGATGCAAACGCGCGACTGCATCGATACGAACGCGCGACTGCATCGATACAAACGCGCGATTGCATCGATGCAATCGCTTATAAATCACAAGTGCAGCGATGCAGTCGCGCGTTTGTATCGCCACAGCATCGCGTTTGCGTCACTGGTAAAAGTCGCCATATGTAATCGCTCTATGATATGATCCGCTTTACTTTTTAAACTCACACTGGCGCAGAGTCGAAGAGTCTCGACGCGTCATGTTTTTCGCCTATAGCATGTTCATCTCTATTTTGCCATAATTAAGGTACAATTTTGTGTTATGCGACCACACCCGACCGCCGACCGCCGACCGTCGTCGCGCGTCGTCAGACGTAGTTGAAAAACAGGACGCGACGCGACGCTTCGACCCTACAAACTTCAATATTAAAGAAAGGTATATTTTGACGATCAAAAGGTAAGTTCTAAATAATGTCGTGGAACATATAGCACTGACACAATATGTAATTGAATTTTGTAGCCTTATGGGAGAATTCATACAGGGAACTAATGGACCTTACCTGTATCTGCCGCCAAGCAGTAATGTTATCATTACTGCGTTCCACTTCTAAAGGTACTATATAGCTATATGGGACTAAATCACAAAGAGTTAAGGGGCACTCCCACTGCGCCCGTCACCCTGAGACATAAGTTGACAAGTCCCTTGTGCCTGTAATTTCACCAGCACTTTGACTCTTCAACACCGGAACGCAGTAATGTGCGTATTACTGCTTGACGGCAGAAATAAGTAAGGTGGCAATACTTCCCTGGACAAATTCTTTCACAAAGAGCTCTACTTCTAAATCTATAAAAAAAAATTGATGAAACACAAAACCCGAAAAAATATCTTGAGATCTTTAAGAAACTCACAAACAAAGATTTTTCCGCATTAAGATTAATTTAAAAATAAGCTTCCTACTTGGAAGAAAGCACGGTTGGTAAGCTCAGAAGGCTTTCGAAGTTTCAGGGATTTTTCGACTTGATTTTGTATCCATTGTATTTATGATCCGTTCTAGATAGGTTATTGAGGATTGGTCAAAATATTCAATAGTGAATCATATTTAAAGACGTAAAATCAGAAGTCTCTTGACATTTCATTTTTTAAATTAAAAATATATACGGCCACATATTATGTACCTAAATCAGGGCTCCCTCACTCGTTCAAGGTTACGCGATAAGTGCCTATAGCTGAGTGTACCGACGTCGGCACAAGCGCTCATACAAGTCTTTCATTTCAATATGGATAGATGGCATAAATAATAATAATAATAATTTTTATTTATTTCTCTCTTACAAAGTTATCCTATAAATAAGAAATTTACATTATGGACTTATTATTAATACATCTTTGTAAGAGACTGGAGTCCATACTAGGATTTGACCTGTATTACGGATCTCCAGGCACACACCAACCGGACTTCGCACTGTATTCTACATAATATAAGAGCGTTACCACGTTCTAAATTACAGAGAGCGAGTTTTATAACTGATTATTTTAATAATATAAGAAAGTAATGGAATAAAACAAAATTGTGTGTGAGTGTGTGTGTGTGCATGTTATTTGTGTGAGTGTGCGTACAAATGTGTGTGTGTGTGTGTAAGTGTGTGTGTGTGATTAATCCTAAATTAAATAAAAGAATAGCCGGCACTATCTATAAAAATTTGTGCAACAAGCGCCATCTAGTAGATGTGTTTGTTATCACTACAAATTAGAGTAGCTTTAAATTTAAATTAGTTACAAACATAGCTATTTGGTGCTCGTCGCGACATCTGGTGTACTAACAGGTACTAAATACCCGACTACGCCATCTTGTATCGCGATTAGCTATCCTCTTGCATTATTGGTCCATGGTATTACTAAATGAAGAGAAATCTAACAAAATTAATTTGCGGAAAATATTCTTCTCTGGTGAATTAAACTAACTTTATTGTATTTTTAACTGACTTCAAAAAAGGAGGAGGTTCCCAATTCGACTGCTTTTTTTGTGTTTATATTACGCGATTTGGGAATCGATTTCGGTCATTCTCTATTTGTTGGAAAGAGGATACCTCCGTATTGGTCCCATTTCAATTTGGAGTAAATATTCCACATCTAAGGGTGGCAAACTAGGGGATAACCGATTTCAATAAAACTTAGCAAATAGATGCAATACTGCGAACTTTTAAGGTCGTTTTTTTTATAAAAAAATTAAATATAAAGCGAGGTGTCTACCCCATTTTCTATCTAACTGTCGTATCTATCATTTTTTACATCTACATTATTTTCAATCGTGCTTACGTAACGTACCATTGCCATAAACAGCACAGAATGTGTTTCTTGACGCATTTTTACAGTCCTTGCTCTTTTCCAAGTCGAAGCGAATCGGAACCAACTGGCCTGCTCCTCCCCAGCCCGTCGTCTGCAAGAAAAGGAAATAAAATGTCATATCCAGATTATAAAAGACGCATGCAGCTACTTCCGCTAAAGAATAAACTTTACACGCGCAACGGTGTCTGTGTAAAGCACGCTATTGTCAGCCTCTTGGGCATACTGCGACATAATCATTGACTTACAAATAAATGGACGACGGGTCTAATACAAAAACCACGAAAAAAAAAGTCCCAAGTCAACCTATTTAAACGTAGTGACATGTAAAGGAATATGAAAAAGCTAAAACGTTGAATTTAAATTGTAATGTCATCGCAGTGCTGTCTAATTTTGCTTGCTTCGCTGTCAGTCGAACAAACGAGGACTAAAGCGTGAATGACGCTCTGTATACGATTTTAACGCCCTATAAGTTCGGACACTTTTTAGCGCGGACCCGACGTCCATATAATTTTAATTCAATGGATATAATGCAATGATTCCCAATGTGGCAGCGAAAAAACAATTGGGGGTGCACAAGATGAAAATGGAAATCATTTAGACAGGTCGTGATCAAAACTTTCTCTTTCTTGAAATTTCATACTTCACATATCGCACACTGGCTTCAAAGCGTCAGACCTAAAAAAATTCAAAAGTGGCAAGTTACGTGGGGCGCACTATAAGTTTCCTGAATGAATAACAAAAAAATACTATAAATGGTCAGAAATGAATTTATTGTTTCTCAAAATATTCTCCGTTAGCGTTAATGCACTTTTTCATACGAATGAACCAATTTTGAAAACATTTATGGCACTCCTCCTTGACAATCTCTGAAACATATTTTTCATACTCTTCGACAGCCTCTTCAGGTGATGAAAATCGTTGACCGCGTAACTGGTTCTAATTTTTGGAAATAAATAAAAGTCACAAAGTGCCAGGTCGGGATTTTACACGGGATAAGGTCAATGTTGTTTCAACCTTCAATTATCGTGGTGCAAGATGATACGGCATTTAAGGTTATTTTTACAGAGTTTGTCAATAACTTCCGGCAAACAAATGGTCGTGTACCAATCACTATTCACGGTACAACGATTCTTCATAGCAAACGGTAGTCACGGTAGCAACGGTAGTCCAGTTTTATAAAAAAAAAAGAAGCAATCATCCGCTTAGAGGCACTTTGCGCGCGCGGCACTTTGGTTGGTTTCGGCTCATCTCGAAAGGCCCAGACGCTCGATTGCTGCTTTGTTTTGGGATCGTAACTATAAATCCATATTTCGTCACTTGTTACTATGTCCCACACCAAATTTGACGCCCCTTCGTTGAATCTGGTGAGCATGGCATTTCACCAAGTGACGCGATCCGTTTTTTGAGCCTCAGTCAAATTGTGTGGGATCCATCGAGAGCACAGCTTTTTCACACCTAAATGTTTGTGTAGCATTGATTGTATTTGACTCGTGCATATGCCTAAAAATGCCCGAATCTCATGGTATGCCACATGCCTGTCTGTTGTGATCATACGGCGCACAGCATCGATGTTTTTGTTGTTCACAGCAATGGACGGGCGACCTTCACAAAATTCGTCACTGAGATTCACACGACCGCGTTTGAATTGTGCAAACCAGCTATAAATAGTCGTCTTGCATGGTGCGTCGTCGCCAAAAGCAGTTGAAGCCGAGCAAAGCTCCGCTGAGCTGTTAAATTACACTTAAAGTCGCAGAAAATCATACTACGAAAATTTTCACGAGTTAAATATATGGTGATGTAGACAACCAATTTCTAAAATGACGCCACAATGTAAAAACAAGTGACAGTCAGATGAAACAAACTGCATTCTACAGCCAAAGAGTTCTATTTTTAAATGTTGTAATTACTTTTTAAATATTGTTTATGTAAGTGGTCAGTTTCGAAAACTTATAGTGCGCCCTATGTAATATATCTCCGATTCGATTTCGAACGCCCTTTTTAATTTTCTTTTTAAACTTATTACATTATCAAATACGTATAGTTTTGTAAAAACCCTAACGGGTTTGACTCAATGTTGTTGAATTCATATCTGATCATCATCAAGTAACTTTCGGTAAGTTCAGACTGAGTATAATTTTGCCACATTTTTTTTTCCGAAAACCGGGTTGCACGGAAAGAGCCTCTTAGCGGCGCACACCAGTAACAAATAGACACAGTAACGCAGTGCCTAGACTGGCTAATTTTTTCCGACACGATGCTTCAACCTGGAGAAGTTTAAAAACACACAGAACAGAACCCAGAAAATAAAGATTTTTGACTTGTACATCATTGCAGCCGGTGTACAATATATTATCTAATACCATAGTACAATAAGATGAACATGGCAACTTCCGCCTCTTCGGTGACTAAAACTCAGCCAGCTGTGAGGATGGGACTCTAAAGAACCGAAAAGTTGGTTTGTTTGAATAAAAAATAGACGCGATAAAGATCCGAAAAACACATTAATTTAAACTTTCACACATTTTTACACACATTATTTGATTTTAAATTCGGAACATAGTCGTGTGTGTAACATCTTACTTACCTGAACGTTTCGAACGTGTTGCAACGTCCATGGTCTTGACGGGACTCAAGTCCCTTGTTCAAACAACTATGAACACATCTACTATTAGATGTCGAACGTCCAAGGTCTCAAAGAACATTCGTACAAATGAAATAATTTGGTCTTTTACTTCCTTTAGCTCTTTTAGTTCCTAAGTTCAATGGGATCTGGGATTTGGCAAGAAATAGAAATCGTTTCTGTCTTTTAAGGACACGGAATAAAATGATCCGTATGAACGACTAATTGATAATTTTAACAGAAATACGTGTTTTCCCTTTTTCTTATACTTTTTTTTATTAAAAATGATGTTTATTGCAATTTTTTTTTAAATTTTACGTCATAATTAGCTGGCTAGGTTCAATTATGAACCTCACTCAAACTTGTACCAAAAGGAATATTCCAACAATTGTCTCGTTCGCACAGTCTCGCCTCGCGTCAGTGAACATTTTCTATGCCCACTGAATTAGAAGACCGGCGAACTATTAAGATCGTGCACAAGGATCTAATTCTTTTCGAGCAGTGTCAGGAATAACAATACCTAGTTCATGAAGTACTCAAGCCTAGACTTGAGTCTCTTCGAGACCATGGACGTTGCAACACGTTCCGAACGTCGAGGTAAATAAAATATCTTTTCATGCACGATTAAGTCACGAATTCAAAATCATATAATATCCGAAAAATAGTTTGATTTCCAGTGTATGTGTAATACTTACTCCAGTATCTACGACGTCACCGTCCCCCCCTTCCAAACACGTCGGTCTGATGCCGTCATTCCATATAATTGGCTCCTCTAGGATCAGCAGTGCCAGGTCGTTCTCAACTTTGTCAGCTGAAGTCGTGAAATTTTCGTGTACTTTTATTTGTTTCACCTAGAACAAAAAACAATGAACTTCTTTATCATCAAACCCACCTACGACGTTCAGCGTCCATGGATGGCAACAAAGACAAACAATACATAAAAAAACTTCAGCAACATCCGAAAAATCTTCGTAGTTTAATATGTATATTCATTATATGCAATCGCAATTGGAGGTATTCTCTGCCTAACCCATTGAAAAATAGACATAGACAATAGTCAACTGCCTCTGTGGCCGAACAGTTACCATGCTGGTCTGGCACACAGAGGTGCCGGGTTCGATTTCCGGGCCGGGAGAAATATCTGCATGGCCTACATTTATTTCTCTATGAGTGTGTGAGATAAAAATTAAAAATTACAAATATTATAGCGACATCTTTAATCAGCTGTTAAGCTGGTAGCTGTAAAGTTACCTGGCTGAGTGAAAAAATAGATTTGTCACAGATGGCGCTACTGTAAAAAAGTCGTTAAAAACCAAAAACAAAGATCTGCAACAAGCACAATGAAAAATTCGTAAGGTCCGCTAGTTCGTACCGGCTTATAGGCATAGCGTCTGTTTTCGTTGCTTCGAATCCAGATGGATCAAAATATTTTTTTCTAGCGTTCGATCTTTGTATTAATAATTAGTTTCCAAAATATGTTAACAACCTGAAAGTACAACTAAAATAGTAATGTCACAACCCTACGCTCCGAGCGAATTTTTTTTTATAATGTCAAGTGACGGGACGAACAAGTCGTGC